TCTGTCTTCCTTCTTTTCACCTCCAGTGCAGTCTATTTCTCCTGTCTTCTATAGTACTAGGTCTCATCTAATGATGATACCGTCACAGAGTTTACACTGACTGACCACATACCCTAGACTAATGACGTATATATTAGGCAACAATAAGATTTATTGTTGCCTATGGTCTGAAAGGTTTGTGTCCATACACAATACCCAATGTGATGATATTAGTAGGTGGAGCCTTTGGGAGATACTTAAGCCATGAGATTGGAGCCCTCACAAATGGAATTAGTGCCTTATAAAGAGGCTCCAGAGAGATCCCCATCCTCTTCCACCATGTGAGGATACAGCAACAAGACAACCATATATTTAACCAGGAAGCGAACCCCCACTTGACCATGCTGGCACCTTGATCTTGGACTTCCAGAATCCAGGAATGTGAGAAATAAATTTCTGTTGATTATTAGCTAACCAGTCTGTGGTAATTTGTTACAGAAGCCCAAATGCACTAAGACACTGTCCACACTGGTATCCTTCTGAGAGTGAAAGGGGGTGGTATTAATAGCTCCTCTGGGACACTAAGCATGAGCCAAGGTCACCCAACTGGTTTTGCGGAAGAGCCATGCGAGAAGACAGCCATCTATGTATGAACCAGCAAGTGGGCTCTCACCAGACACCAAATCTGCCAGGACCTTAATCTTGGATTTCCCAGTCTCCAAAATGGTAAGAAATAAATTTTTGTTGTTTAAAAGCCACCCAGTCCATGGTAGTCTGTTACAGCAGCCTGAACAGACAAAGACATAAGTGTATCTTTGTCTTTAATTTTTTGACCACTAGATGTCAACTTTTCCTGGATTTCTAGACCACGGTTTCAGTAAGATTCAGACATCCTCAGCAACACATCCTACACATATAGCCAGATTTGTGAACATCCATCATGCTCATTGAGCTCATATTATTTATGCTCATTGATTAACATAAGCCATATTTTACAATTGTTTTGGCAATGATTACAAAGGTTTATATAACAAAGGTCTATATAACAGTTCCAAATAAGGATTTCTTCACTGCCCCTCAAGCTGCCTGATGTTCCAAGATAAGGCCTTTGGTCAGGATGTTGTCAAAATAAGTAACAGCCTAGGGTCAGGCCATTAGAAAGTTCCTATGAGAACACCATTCAGATTGGACCTTACGTGAAGAAGGAGGCAGCAGAAGGAGGGAGAAGATCCAAAAAGGATGACCCTGAGGTCATCCTTGCCTGAAATCCACGTCAGTAAACTCTAGTCTAACCATAATATCAATCAGGAGAGGATCCTTGGTCAGATCATTTTTTTAATTTCAAAAAATATTGATTTCCATTCTGTAAATACCTCCAGTTCACTAAATTAAGGAGCATTCCTTCTTTGGCATTCTTCCCCTGGCTACATTAGCAAAGGGGAACTTGACCCATGACTCAAGCAGTCTAACAGCACTGATGAGATGCCTCCTCCCCCATCCTCACCTCCCCTTGGGGGATAGTAAGGAGGGGTGGTCTCGAGAATCACTAAAAGTCTCTCAGAACATAAAGCTTTCCTTGTAATCATATATTATGTTCTCTCAGTGCTCAGAAAATAGAAACAGCTCCCTACATTTGCTCTTAGAGTGACAGAAAACAGTCGATAATGTTTGTCTATGGATTTGATCCCAACGAGGATGTTTTGTGAAAGATGAAGTGAAAGACTTCACTGTTTCATGGCAAGGATCCCATCTTCAAGATGCAGGGTGGGATGGGTGTCTGGAGAAATGTGAATACCCTGTCTAAGGCTCTGACATTTCTGTGTGCAGAATGGTAACACTTACAGTAGAGAAGAGTGCATCAGTGAGAGCCTCTTTCTTGCCCTTTGAAAACCGTCCCTCCAAGACTCATCCTGAGGAGCAGCATCAGGTGAGAGTGTCTCCTGGGCTCCTTGCCAGTTCTTGGATGGCTGTGGCTCTGGCCGGGGACTTGGTGCTTGCCCCCACAGAGCTCCTGCAGTGCAGGGTGTACAACCAGCACGGATATGCCTCCTTTGCACATTCCATTATGTGCACTCAGAGTTGCATTTCACCACAATGGAGGATAGTAAGAGCCTGAGGTGGGACAACCTAGTTGATCATCTCAATTACAAAATTACATATGAGAACATAACACATTCCTGAGTAGTGATAAATAGAAAAGTGAGGGTTTTGTTCTCTACTCGATAGTCATAACCGTAAGGTACCAGAAGGCCAAAGGTAAAGTTGGTAAAGGATCATTTATGTGTTAAGATCTGAAAAGCCCTTCCAGCACTAAGAGAAAAAATACTTTCTCTCACTGATAGATGAAGTTCCATTATTAGAGATCCACTCCTTTGGTTTAAGCCTTAACTGTGACAGGCTGAGAATATTCACAGCACTTGGCTATTATAATGAAAATGGTTTCATTACACTAAGGATTCTTCCAACTCTCCCAGTCAACTGGAAAGCAAAAACACCACCCATACTTCTTTTGCATTGCCTTTGTTCCTTTGTCAAAGATCAGTTGATTATATTATGGGGGGGGTCTATTTCCAGGCTCTCTATTCTGTTCCATTGATCTATTTGTCTATTCTTTCACCAGTACCACACTGTCTTGATTACTGTAGCTTTATAGTAAGTCTTAAAGTCAAGCAGCATCAATCCTCCAACTTTGTACTTCTCCTTCAAGATTGCATTGACTATTCTGGTTCTTTTGCTTCTCCTAATAAACTGTAGAATCAGGGACTTCCCTAGTGTTCCAGTGGTTAAGACTGTACTTCCACTGCCGGGGGCATGGGTTTGATCCCTGGTCGGAGAATTAAGATCCCGCGTGCCGCATGGCACAGCCAAAAATAAATAAACAAACTGTAGAATCGGTTTGTCAACTTTCATAAAATAACTTGCTGGGATTTAATTGGGACTGCATTGAATCTGTAGATCAACTAAGTTGGGAAGAGCTGACATCTTGACAATATTGAGTCTTCCTCTCCATGAACATGAAATATTTCTCCATTTATTAGCTATTATTTGATTTCTTTTATTAGTTTTGTAGTTCTCCTCACACAGATCTTGTACATATTCTGTTAGCTTTATACCTATTTCATTTTGGGTGGTGCTAATGTAACCAGTATTATGTTTTTAATTTCAAATCCCACTTGTCCATTGTTGGTATATAGGAAAAAAATTGACTCCTGTATGTTAACTTTGTATTTTGCAACCTTGCTATAATCACTTATTGCTCCAGGAGGAGATTTTTTTTTGTTTCTTTTGGGTGTTTTTTGTTTTGTATTTCTTTCCAACCTATATACCTTTTATGCCCTTTTCTTACCTTATTACACTAGCAAGGACTTCCAGTATGACTCTGAAAAGGAGTAGTAAAATGGGGCATCGTTGTACCTGATCTTAGTGGGAAAGCTTCAAGTATAAAGCTACTGCAGGGTTTTTGTAGTCTTTATCAAGTTGAGGAAGTTTCCCTCTATTGCTAGTTTTCTGAGTTTTTATCATAAATGGGTGTTGGATTTTGACAAATGACTTTTCTGCATCTATTGATACTATCATTTGATTTTTCTTTTTTTAGTCTGTTAGTGTGATGGATTACATTGATTTTTCCCACACTTCCTTAAAGGCAGTATCTGAATGCAAATTTTTTCCAATTAGATATCTCATGTGAGAATTGGAAGGCAGAGTCAGAGAGTTCTATCTCCCTGCTCTTCTGTTTTCTGCTGGCAAGCAGTCAAGAAGCCAGGGGTTCGACAGCAGCATCCCTGGGTCCAGAATGTCACTGGTGTTGAAAAGTAGCTGTGGCAGCACCAGGGGAGCGTCCTGATCCCTGAATCACAGGCTCCATGGGACTTTTTTCATGTCTACAGTTCAAGTGTGTGGACTTCTCAGTCTCCACCTTTTGGTTATGGTAACTGTAGCATCTTCTGGAACTATACACGTTATTATTATTATTATTATTTTTTGGCGGTACGCGAGCCTCTCACTGCTGCGGCCTCTCCCGCTGCGGAGCACAGGCTCCGGACGCGCAGACGCAGCAGCCATGGCTCACGGGCCCAGCCGCTCCGCGGCATGTGGGATCCTCCCGGACCGGGGCACGAACCCATGTGCCCTGCATCGGCAGGCCGACTCCCAACCACTGCGCCACCAGGGAAGCCCCACATTATTTTTTAACATCTAGTTTCTGTACGAAATGCCTTTCTGCTTAAAATATCTAGAGTAGCTTCTGTGTACTTCTAAAACGGACCAGGGACCATCACAGATGTGGATAAGCATGCTTACTGAAGAGAATGGATGAAGCAGTGTGAGGGAATAAAATTCCTCATGAGGGCATGAGCTGTAAAACATAGGGAGAAAACAAGGCACCAGCCCCATTTTATACCTGACTGAAAGGTGGCTTCCTTGAAGACTGCTTCTTCCAGAAGCACTTACCAGCAGCTCAGGCTGGCGTTCCTCTCAAAATTAAAATACAATAAGCATTATCAATGTCTCCCAACTAACCTCCAAGTAAATCTCATTGCCATCACACAATGTCCTTCATTCGTTCTTTTTTCTTCTATACCCACCTCCTTCACCCCTCCCACCCCCATTTTAATAAAATAAAAGAATAAGACTGGAAGGTGCCTCACAGCTACTTTAGTTTATTTACTACTTTCTAGACTTATAAGGAGGCCAAATCAGTAGAATGACTTTCCTAATATAAGCTATACATGATCTAATGACCAGCTATGTTCCAACATTACCCCACACCTAGTACGACTGTAGAGAAGTAAAATAAATACCAGAGGGTTACTCTAGACATTTCATGATTCAGGGTCTCTGCCCACTTCTGTCTAGGTCTTTTAATCACACAATTTGTGTTACTCCGCGATTCATCCCAGGATCCTTCCACAGGTAACACCGCATGGTCTCAGTCCGGGGACTCTCTGCTCCACTCTCCCCTCACTGAGGCGGGCTCATGTCTCTCTGTCTCCTGCGGCAAACGTGCTTAGGTCAATTTCGGGATGCTGGAGCTCCCCAGGCACCACCCACAGAGCAGGGCAAAGGAATGGCTTTGTGCGGACAGTGCGCTCACGGATCACATCCCTCGCCTAATGGTCCGTGGGAAATGGGTTCGGAACCTGGGCCAGCACAAGCGGATGGCAAACAGGTGCAGTGACTGAGGGGCAGGTAACCGTTAAACGCAAGCCCCAGTGGCAGGTTCTGGGAGCTTTTTTCCCGCATTTAAGTCCTGGGTTCCAAATTAAGACTCTGCCAGCTTGCTTCTCACAGGGTACTCTTTGCCAAAGGTACTCTTTGAAGCAGCTGAGCAGTAGAATTTGGTTCTTCAGTTTCTCAGGGATTCCAACCACAGAGATATGTCCTCCCTACCTACCTCCCCCAACCAGGTATGAGCAAAAGCCCCACACCGGGGAGGACAGCTCTGGGTTGCACAGTGGGAAAAGCTGTGGTGACAGGTACTCGGGAGTCTGTCGTCCAGGAGTCCTGGCCAACAGGTTGTATGTGAGAATGTGTGGAGTGACAGGGAGGGGGCTACGGACTGAGACCTCCTCACCCAGTTGTCCCACTAGGTTTCTCTGCTAAGCCAAGCATGCTACAGGCTTACTGGATCTTCCAGCAGTCCACTTGGCTGAGGAGAAAATGATGGTGAAGGGAAGTGCCATGTCCAGCCTGAAGTAAGGATGCCAGGAAGTCAGGGACAGGATCAGAGCCTGGGTCTGTGGGCTCACAGAACTTGAACTGCTGCAGGTGGTGATGTCATTTTTCCCTTGCAGAAAGGTGCCATGGGCTTCTGAAGGTTCCCCCCCCGTTCCTGGTCCTCAGCATTCTGGTCCTGAACCAGGCAGGTATGCTCCAGACAGCGCCATTCAGGTGAGACAGCCCTGCCAGGAGCACTCTCACCTCCTATGTCCCCTGGAATCATACAGTTCTGTGTTCTCAGTTGTGCTTGTGCTGAATCTTTAGCAACTGGCTCCTGGTGGGTGGAGGTGGGGGGATGGGTGGTGGTAATATACAAATGTACACTTATATATAAGTTTACCATAAAAAGATGTGTAGCACACAGTTTACAAATAGACATAACATATACAGTACTAGTTATTATAAATTTCATATAACTCATTGAACCTCACAACATACTTTTGCTGCTTTTTATCAAACACTTTTATCTTTAGCAAAGCTATTTACTAACTTAACCATAATTTGTGAAATGAATTTCATCCTAGTCTGCTACTTGGCCAATAAATTTGTTATTAAATCTGATATGTGATCTATTCATCTAATTTCTCATCCTCATTCAAATTATATTTATTAAACTTAAACCATTTTCAGATTCAAATTATCATTATCATTTAATTTTTAATAATGGCTGCATTTAACACTAAGCTCAAAAAATTCCTGAAAATCTAACCATCAGTTGCCAGCAAACCATTTCTTTGAGGTCACACCAGAGCCTAACTCCTGGTGAAGCAGCATTTTTGGATAGACAATGGCTTCATTTCTTCCGTTGGCTGTTGGGGCAGCCACATCCTCAGGGGAAGATGCAGAAACCAGGAAACCTGGCTGCTTATCCTGGGGGTGGGGGTAGGCAGGGACTCAGAGCCAAGACTGTGCTTGCTCCCCTTCCCTAGGTGGGCCTTGGAGAATGGCTTTGATCCCGCTACACTCACCAATAAGGAAATGTGCCTCCTACTGGCTGCAATGATGAACGATTATGTGCAGATGAAGGCCCATGAGCTGAAGCAAGAGACAGGAGGGCTTCAGGTAAGGCTCTGCCCTCTGCTCAGCACTTACCCTCTCCCCTGGCTTACCAGAAAGATGTATCCTGACAGGCAGGAGAGAACACAGCTGGATAGGCAGCCAGCAAGCAGTCACTGTTCACCTTGGCCTGGGGCCCACCTGTTCTACAGGCTCCACTGAAGACAGAGGTCATGTGAAGGAACTATGGTTGCACCACATGTACAAAGATCCCTTTCTAAAAGCAGTGGGGGAAGGTGTGGAACCCCTCACTCCGGAAATTGTCTGGCAGTACTGAGGATACCTCCCAGCACTGCAGGAGTTCAGCCTCGTAAAGCCAGGGAATGAATCCCATGTATCTCAGGGGATTTTATAAATCTAGCCCCTCCTTGCTAACCTGCACATGATACTCTTTCATACCTGCAAGGCAACTTCATTGCACATTTGCAAGGTGAAGCCAGAGCCCTTACAAAGGATGTTGTCAGGTAGCACAGTGTCTGAGGTAGGTCCAGGGCCTTTAGATGTGTAGAATCTGTGGAGATGTGCAGGTTCTCACTGGACCAGACACCCTTCCCCAGCCCCACCTCCCTGTGCACCCTGAGCTTGGAGGTCACACCAGCTCCTGACCTGGCCATACCTGGGCAGAGGCATGTGCTGTACCTGCCCTAAGAACCTCTCTGCAGAGCAAGAAGGACTGAGCAGCATGTGGAATGCCAGAAAAGGTCACCCCTTCCCCCCGCAGCCCTTCCCCGCACTGCCCTGGCTCAGTGAACCTCTGTGTTCTCCTAATGGAGGATGCGTGAACCGCCCCCATTCCTGCCCCTCTGCTTTTGCTCCAGGTGCCCTCTCCCTATTCTAATCTTCTGCACGACTGCCTGCAGGGGCAGCCCTGGTGCATGGTATTGTCTAGCCTGACTTTTCCCTGTAGCTTGGACAGGTCCAGAACTAAGCAGTGCAATAATCTGAGTACCTGTGTCCTGGGCACATACACATAGGACCTCAACAAGTTTTACACATTCCCCTTAACTAAAACTGGGGTCAGAATGCCTGGCAAGAAATGGGTCATGGCCAGAGTACTGGAGAAAGACCATGATCCCTCATGTTGGCATATGCCTCAAGGTGCCTACTCAACCCCTTCCTCTCCTTTCTAATTCCTTTGTTCCTGTAACTTGATGCATGTGGTCTTCTCTGGTTGCTCTTCGGGCTAGTATCAGTGGCATTCTTTGTGGCAGTGGATGTCTGGAACATCAGATGGGAGGAGGGAGAGCAGGCCAGAGAGAATCATTCAGGAAGAGATCAGGAGAGAGAGGGCAGCCCTGTGAGTACCTGTGGATTTCATAGCAGAGCTTCTCAGTCCTGCTTCTGAACATGCCTTTCATTGGGAGAAGAATAGTGTATTTCTAAAAACCCCTGAGCTGTGGTGGTTATTGCTCTGGCCACATCCCACACTTCATGGATACAGGGACCTGTCTGGCAAGTAGCTTTAGCCCCGGGTAGCTGGAGTCAGGGCACAGTGGGTGGTCCCTGTGAACAACCTCAGGTAGCGAAAACAGGAGCACTAAGCACCTCTGAGATTTGATGCTGCAAACTCGCTTCCTCTTCCAGGAGGACAGGAGTATTTTCCTTTTCCTAAGGAGTACTCAGTACCTTGTGAATGGAATGCATCTTCTAGACAATCTTTAAGAATGAGGTTGGATGTGGCACCATAATCTCTCTAGTCACCTAAACCTTGGTTAAGCTTTCGTTTACTTGTACAGAAAAGACTGGCTGCTATAGTTCTGTGTTCCATGGCTTGCTGCCCAGAGCACATTTGGGTTTTCTGACACCCTTGGAAACGTCTATGGGGAGTGATTGTGGCATTTTCCCTAATGCCCTATGATTGTCTGTGGTGATTTTGTGTTTAGGAAAAATATTTAAAGTTCATTGGTGCCTCTCGGAGCAGTAATTTTACCATGTTGGTCCCATGGGGTAGCACCTGCCCTCAGCCTCTCACTGACAGGCCTTTTCTTTTTCTCTATCCTGCAAATCAGCATCACTGCCCAGAAGAGATCCTGTAACACTGCGACCTGTGTGCCCCATAAGATGGCGGGCTGGTTGAGCAGGTCTGAGAGTGTGGTTAAGAACAACTTCACGCCCACCAACGTGGGCTCCAAAGCCTTTGGCTGGCACCGCAGTGACCTTCAGGCCTGAGCAGTGAAATGACTCCAGGAAGAAGACAACCGCCCTAGTACCTCAGACAGCAGGGCAGATGGCTGGGTATTGCAGGAGTGCAGGCCACAGTCTGACCCTCCCTGGTCCTGTATTGTAAAAAATATCCACAGTGAAGGTGCCAACCACAGTGTCTGGAGAAAGAACAGAGTCCCAATAGCTAGAACACCTAGAATTTGGGTTCATTTCTGCTTTTTTTCAGTGCCTCCAAGTGACTCTGAGATCATCTGCCAGGAAATATAGATCCTATTCATTTAAAACACAGTTCCCTACAGTTATAATTGTGATTATTCTAGTTTTTTAGTTTGAAAGGCAAAGACCCTACCCTTTGGGAGTATGCCCTACAATGTCATGTACATCTGGATTCAGAGCATAGACTTGGGTTCAAATACTGTGTTTGTCCTCTACTAACTATATGACCATGGACCTGATCCTCTCTGAGCCTGTTTCCCCATATAACTTGAAAGCAACAATAAGTACCTACCTGTATCATTAATATAAAAAGTAACTGAGATAATACATGACAAGAGCCTCGCTGTTAATAAGTAATAATATTCTAGTTCTTACTTTTTTTTTCTCCTAGGTCACCAAGGAGCTGAACTCCATTTCTTTTAATTTGCAATGAAAGCAACTTATTGAAAAGAAATAGCATGGAAGACACACATATATGCATGCCTCTTGATATTGAAAACACTCCTTTTTGCTTGAAATAAACTAAAGATAAATGCAGAATAAAAGCATTGTAATTACCCAATGTGCATCTTTTTTATAGTTGATTCTGTATTCTATAAATATGATGCATGTCTCACTGGCTTATCTGGTAGCAAATCTGGACCCTGTCAGCCAACCTGTTGGCTGCTCTGCTAAACCTCAGGGGCACATGAAATTTCTGCCTTGTGGGTGCCTGGGGATGCCTAGTAATGCTGAGCCTCAATGGAACTCTCTCTTTAAAGAAATGTTCTCATTTGTGCACTTCATCAAGATAAAAAATACATTTTCGATACAGGTAAAAGGAGTCCCTGCTGTTATTTATGTTGTTTTTCCCATGAGAACCTCAGGGACCTGTGACATTTTGTTGACCAGGCTGGCTCAAATGAGGCAATGATACCATGTTTGGGGTGGGTCCTCAGTAACCTGTATCCTCAGTGTCTAGTGAAACCCCTTTACTGGAATTAGAACCCTGTGCATCTCAAAGAGATATTCACAGTTATTTTCAGAGAGTGCCCTGGTCCCCAGCCCCAGAAGTTATCTGTTCTCTTCTCCTTGACTCAGGTTTGCCCTTACCCATCCCTGCCTTTCCTCCCAACAGCACCCCTTCACACACCCCATAGCCTGCAAAGCCCTTTAGAACAACGGCTCACAGTTTGAAAGGGGATCACACACTGGCAGACCTAGAAAGATCATCAGATGCCATCTAATCCAACTTTTTACTCTCATGTGCAGAGAAGAAAAGTGCGTTGCTCAGGTCCTGAAATAAGTTTAACAGAGACATTCCTATATTTAACAAATAATCATTGAGTGTCTGCTATATGCTTGACCTTATTTGAGCTCCAGGACTACAGCAATGAACAGAACAGACAAAACCCCCTGCATTCATGGAGCTTATATTCTAACTGGGGGAGATTGAGGTGATACATGCTGTAGAATCGGAGATGGTCGGTATTGGAAGGAATCTGGGATGTCATAGGGTCTAAAGGCTTATTAGATACAGAAATTTCCCAGCGTCAACATCCCTGGCATTTGCTAGAAATGCCGGTGAGAAACTGCTGACTGTAACTTCCAAGGTGACTCAGCAGCAAGTTTCACTGGTGGGCAGTCAGTTAAGAGGGTTTTTTTAATTAGAAAAGTCATCTGCTACCTACTGATTCTAGTTATTTCCTCAGAAACGCATAGAATTATGACCCTTGCTCCCATTCATTCTTTACTCATCACAGTAGTACATAAAGCAGATCAGACCATGTCTCCCTTAAGTACAGAATACTCCATTGAGTCCCCATCTCACAGAGTAAACACTTGGGACATTGCAGTGGCTTCTTAATAAACTCCACTTGGTCAGAGGATATGTATTAAAATTTATTTCCAAATTCAATTTGCTTGTGATTTATTTAGGATTTTGTACTACCTTTGTTAAGTCTAGAATTGGGGCTATGCCAATGGTATCAAATGAGTTGGCAAACTTGAAATTTTTCTGTTTTAAATCAGTGCAAATAGTGTGAAAACTATCTCTGCCTTAAGCTAGATGTAATTCACCTGTAAAAGTTTCTCACAGAGTTCTTTTTATAACATAGTTCCTTGCAAGGTTTTCAATTTTTTCAAGATTATTCAACTCTACTATTTTATTTTATTCTGTATATTCTTGATTTATATACATTTCTGAGAAACTTTAATTTAAAAATTTTTACATGCATTAGCAAATCACACTTTTTCATTATAATTTAAAATTTTCATATTTGAGGTTATATCTTCTTTTTCATTCTGGATGTAGTGTACCTGTACCTAGTAGTCTAACAGGTACCACATGACCTGACCCTATATATTTCTCAGATCTCCTGACAACTGACCCATTGCTTGCTCCACTCCCATCTTTCTCTGGGTCTTTGCAGTTACTATTTTCCTGCCTAGCATGCTATTCCCTTAATGTTTGTGTGACTGACTTGCTCCCTTTCTTTCAGAACTCTGCTGAAACATCACCTTCTCAGAAAAGGCTTTCCTGTATGCTTATATATGAAATGGCTCTGATCACTGTCTACCCACCTTATTCAGCTTTATTTTATCCATATAGAACTTACCATTTTTTTATCCACATGGAACATATCACCATCTAAAATGTTACATATTTAGTGGGGTTTTTTGGTCTATGTACTTCCACTAGCATGTAACGCTATGAAGGAAGTTATATGGATATTTACCTATATCCCTGGAGCACAGAAAAATTTCTAGAACATGGTAGCCCTTCAATAAATATCTGTTGAGTTAATAAATTATAAAACTCTATGAACTTCTGACTTATTTTCCTCTGAGTTCATCTTTAACATGAACTCAGAGGAAAATAAGCATCATGTTTTGAGAAGTAAAGTCGTCATTTTAAAAATCATCTTTAATTTTTCTTTTGCTTAACTCAAAAGTTATTTAGTAGAGAAATTTCAAATTTAAAATAGATTTCAAAATTACATTTCAGTTATTTAGTTCCAGGTTTTTTGCACTGAGGTTTGATAAAGTGATCTCTACAATTTTTTGCTTGGGAAATTTAGTTAAATTTTCTTTGAGGCATATTATATGGTCCGTTCTCACAACTGTTATAAAAAAAAACAGAAAATAAAGTACTTTCACTGAGCTAAAAACTTTTATATCAGTATCTATCTATGTATATATCTATGCATATATAATTAAAAGATTAATAACATTATTCTTATATAGTATTTTTGCCTGGGTAGTTGATCTTGCAAAGACTAAGAGAGGGCAGTAAAGTTTCCAAGTGTAATTTTTGTCTCTGTGAATTAGACCCTTGTATTTCTAAAAACATTTAATTTTACATATTATAAAGGGTTATTTTTTACTTTTAAAATCTACTTTCATAAGGCATAAATTATATAATATAAAATTATATAGATGAATTATATTTCCATGAGTTTTACCAAAACTATACCATAAAATCTATGTAACCATCACAGCAATAGAAGGTATGGAATATTTCCATCATCTCAGAATGTTCCTCATGCCACTTTGAAGTCAATATCCTCCAAACCCCTGCCTCTCATAATCACTGATGTAATTTCTATCACTGTGAATTCATTTTTCGAGAGATATATGCTATGTACTCTTTTTTATCTAGCTCCTTTCACTCAGCATCTTGTTTGGGAGATTTATTTATATTGTTGCATATGTCATTATATAGTTATCTGGGAAACTAACTGGATATTAATTGAGTATTAATTCTCAAGGATTGTAGAGGAGGGGTTAAGTAGTATTCCATTGCATACTAAAATCTGTTGGACAGACAGATGCATTACTTTCAGTTTTGGTTATTATGCATGACACTCTTATGAACATTCATGTATAAATATTTCTGGGAACAGTTGAAGCCATTTCTCTTGGATAAATAGCTAAAAGTTGTATGGTAAATGTCTGTTATGACTAAACTGACTCTGCCAGTTTACAAATGGCTCTGCCATTTTACACTCCCAGCATAAATGTCAGATCATTTAACTTGCTGCACACAACCTTGACAATGTTTGGTATTTTCAGCCTTTATAATTTTGGCCATTCTTATGATACTGTAGCAGATTCTAATTGTGAGTTTTAATTTTGATCTCCCTAATGACTACTGGTAATTGAATATCCTCTCATATGCTTATTGGCCATTTGTTTATATTCTTTCATGAAGTTCCTGTTCCACTATTCTTCCCATTTTTAATTGGACACCTTACCTTCTTAACTATGTAGTTGTAAAAGATCTTAATATATTCTAGATACAAGTCCTGCTTCCTTTGGGGGCACTATTTCACTTACCTGCTCACGTTTCTCTCCCTCTTGAATCACTTCTTCTGTGGGAAGCCAGATGCCATGAAACGTGGCTGTTCAAGCAGGCTATGGAGGAGTCTGTGTGTCAAGGAATGCAGGTCTCTGACCAATAGCCATGAAGAATGGAGGCCTGTCAACAACCAAATGAGTGAGTTTAGAAGTGGATTCTCTAGCTCCCTTTGAGCCTGGATATGACTGTAGGCATAGCTGAGAGCTGGACAACAACCTCAAGAGAGACCCCGAGCTAGAACCACCCAGCTGAGCCTGTCCCAGAGAACCTACTCTCAGAAACTGTATGTGATATTAAGTTTTTGTTCTTCAGAGCTGCTAAGTTTTGAGATAATTTGCTATACAGCAATAGATAACTAATATCCATCCAAACCATCATAACTTTAGTGCTTTCCCTGGAAAACACATTCAAGGGAAGTTGGCTAGATGAGCAGACCTGAGTTCAAGTTGGAAGTCACAGTTCCCAGAAAGGATGCAGTCAGATTTCTTTCCCCTGGTTCCCAAGCCCAGATCATATTCGGTGCAATGGCATAAGTGGCTTCCACTCCAAACAAAATTAAGTCCTGTTCCTCATCATTATTGAGTGCTTTTTACCAGAGCCTCTCTCTCTGAGTTCTCAATGCTCTCCATCCTGTAGCTACTCTTTCACATCATTCTTTCTGCCTCTAAGATTCTCATGGTGGGAAGAAACCATTAAGATCGTGTAGCACAACCCTCATGCTTGAATTACTCTATAACACCCCGAAGTGATCTACTAGCTTACTTTTGAAATTTTGATGTCACCATCTCCTGATATAGCTCATTCTATCTTTGGATCATTCTGACTCTTAGAAAATTCCTCCAGTAGTGAGCAGAATTCACTTTCTCTCCTCTCCTGCTTCACTGGGTTCTCAAGAAATTCATTCTTGGGCAAAATATCCAGGGAGAATTAGCTATGACTGAGACCACACTTCTGAAGGTATTAATCGTTGGTGATTTAAAGTAAATCATATTTTCTTTACTATGAAGTCCCTAGTTGGATTTAGCCATCTCATTAGCTAGATTCATTCTAGACAATCACCCATACATTCTCAAGAATGTATCTGGGGTAGGGGA